CTAACAGTTCCGCCCTTCGACGTGAAATATGATAAGAAAAAAAAATTATAGGACAGGAGAGATGATTTCGAGTCTTCGTGATTGCTTGTCAGATCGCGTACAATTTAATAACGGATCCTGATCGATGGATCGACGCGTGTGTATTTGCCGGATCGCGCGCCCCATCTCGTCGGGGGTAATATTATTAGACACCCCGCGAATAAAGTGACTGAAAATTTCAAGTTTTACGAGACATTTTCACGTCTCTCTCACGCTCCACGTCTCGTTCCACGTCTCGTAGAGATGATCGTTACAATTTATTGTAATTCTTTATTAGTTTTTTTTTTTTTTTCTAGAACGTCAATGACGTTGGAGCAGGAAACGAGCGCGCGTGAACTTTTATACTTTTCTCGCGAATTCGCGGCGCCGCCGTTCTCGTTCTTCTTATTAACTTCGAAAGCGGGAAAGGATATCAGTTGAAGTTACAGCAAAATTAGTCTGTCATATTCTGAGAAATAGGATTCCCCCGCATTGTGCAAGAACAACATAACCCCGCGCGCTAACACAGTAATACGTAGTTCGCGTGAAAAGCGTGTCTCTTAATGTCGTTTAGAGCAAGAACTAGATAGTGTTCCGGGACGGGGTTACACCGCGGGACTGATAAAGTGGCATTGTTCCCGTAAGTCTCTAATCCACGCGAGATTATGCGTGTCGCGGGAAGTGATGTTATTTGCCCCCTCCCCCCCTTAACGAAAATATCAAAGACTCGAGGAGATAAAACAAATTATTTTTCCTCAACAATTGTTGTAACAATATATTTCTATTGTTGTTCCGCGCGCGTAGTTTTAATTTCAACACTATTAAATTGTATTAAATAAAATTATAAAATATGTAAATTTCATTAAATAAAATATATCGATTATTTTTTCGATAATTGAAACATGGTTTTTATTATTATATTATTATTTAAATTATTATCTCACTGTTATTTTTATTAATTGATGTATAATAAAAATATTTTGTAGCCAGAAAGCGCATTAATTCCGACCGCGATTATGGCGCACGTATAAGAGTCAAGTCGCCATAGAAACGCAGAGCCTATGATACTCGCGATAGTCGTATAGTTTCCAACTTAGCGAGTTTCGTCGAGAGGGAGATCCTAGCTATGCAAAGGTGACTATGCAAAGCCGAATCCCAACGCAATTAATTCTCGGGCCAAATCGAAGCACGGATCCTCTCGATGAAATATAATCGCGCTCTCTCAAGGCCCACGTCAAGACCAAAGGTGACTCGTCGAGAACAACCCGAGGTCGCTTATCTCCCTCGGTGCCGCGATCGGTGTAATTCAACGATCGGTGATGCCGCCGGAACACACCGGAAACGAGGACGTTATTGTAGTAGTTAGAGAGACGACGGATGCTGCGCGAAATGAGAGCTGACTAATCTGCGACGACGCAATATATCGCTGTCGTCGCGCTTCAGCGGCGATTAAATTGCAAATTAATTGAACGTTTTGCGAACAAGTTTTTACGCGAGATACGCACCGACACTTTTCCTTCCGATCCGACGATAATAGCCGTAGCGCCGCATCGTTAACGCAAAACGCGTTCGTTATCCCCCGTTTGTCCAGCTTCCAACTGTGTGTCGTCCGATCCGTCCGAGTTTTTATCCGCAACAACGAAAACGCGAGCGGGCAACTTCCCTCCCCTAAACCCGCGTGCGCGTTTTGCTTTGTAAAAACTCGCTATCGCGCTGTGTCTCCATTGAGCCGGTCTCCATCTCTCACAAAGTGGCACGTGAAAAAAAAAAAAAATGTATTTAGCGAAAAACGGAGAAAAAGGAAACACCGTGCGGGAAGATTAACCGGGAACAAATTTTGTGAGAAAAAATTTACAAAAAATTTACAAATAACTCAACGATAATGTTGGAATCGCACGACGAGAGAGAAGTAATTTGCAACAAGTTGGTTTTCTGTTTTTTTTTCTTTTTTTTTACGAAAGACGAGAACTTGTTGAAAATACGCGGCGATGGAATCAAGAGAGGATTGTTATCGATTTTCTCTCCCCGCTCGTGTTCTAAAAACCGCACACAATGTGTTACGCCGGTGTATTGTGGGCAGTTTCACCCTGATCTAATCCTCTTAGAGTGATCTCGAAACTCACGGATTCGCCTTGGACCTACGTCAACCCCCGCAGCTTGCCTCTGACAAGGCATAACAATTTCCACCGAGATGAACATTACCAGGTTTACCTTTGCTGCGATATATGTAGTGTATATACATATATATAATACATATATATGTATGTATATATATATATATATATGTATGCAGAATCAAGAGGCAGACCTCTTCTCCGTAGTCCGTTCTATTCCCACCTTCTCCAATTACGAAAGCTCGTGGGGCTTTCCGCAGAAAGTTTCGGTTTGCTTGACGTCTCTCGTGCGCGCGTCGCTGGCTAAACTGTTTAGACGTGTCTTAGGGCGAAAACTTCCAAGTGACGTTCGAATTTTGGTACTTACCATGTTCTGGGTAAAGACATCGGAAGAGCGTCGAAGGATCGACAGGTCAGCGAAAGGGTAAAGAAGATAGACGGTTGCGGTTAAAGACGGGGGAGGGGGGTGGGAGGAAGGGGAGGGACGTGAACATCGCGCCGATGAAATCCACTTCGTCGTGTCGGGAAGTTTTGAAAGTCTGAATGACGTCGCATGGATGTCGATAATATCAGAAAAAGTAGTCGGTTACTCGCAACGTGGATATTTCACTCTTAATCTCGCGGGTGCATCGTTCCGGATCTCTCAACTCTCTCGCGGTGGCGAACGACGCGGACGAAACTCGAAATAGCGCGCCGGTTTGTTGCCACCAAACCGCGTCACATCGAAGTTTACGCGCGTCAACTTTTTGCCATTAACTTACATACACACACACACACACACACACACATACACACACACGTGTGCACGTGCACGTACCGAATAAACTTGCTCATCTCTCTCCGCACCGTCTCTGCGCACGAAATGCGCAGTAAATACGATCTCCGCTTTATTCTACAGCAAATTAATATGTATATAACGTCTTCCGTCTTACAAACTGTCTACAGTTATACACGGGGGTTACATTCACGAGTGCACGAGCGTAGAACGCAGACACAAGACCCGGCGTCTGGAATGTTTTAGCCTCCACATTTAATCTGGTACTGAAAATTTCAGCTCTTCTGTCTCTCCTCCTAGGAATTCTCGCTCTTAAACCTTTTTGCTCTCCACGTCCATTCCTTGTCTTTCTCTGACGGCACCGACGACGACGACGACGACGACGACGACAATGACGTCAAAGGTAGATACCGACTTCTGTCTAGTCGCTGCATACGCGCACTTACGACTTTACACACACACACACACACACACACACATCCGCGCTCTATGCTAAAAAATATAAAAGTCTAGTTTAGATCTTTCACGTTACCTGGCAATTTCTCTTTACTTATATCTGATGAGAGTAGAGACGCTTTAGAAGCAGTGAATTATTAAGACGAGAAGATAAATGAAAGGTAGACTGATGTGGACATGCAGTATTTATAAGATTTCACACACACACACACACACACAATTCCTCATCCTCTTGTAACGACATAAAACCCCCATTGACGTCTCGTAACGTGTTTCACTTCGAATCATTTTCGTCGTAACTCGGCTCGTTGAACATGTCAAGATAAAAGAAACAGAAGGTAGATAAAAAGCGACGGTAAAACCCCCAGCGAAGTGGGCGTCCTAATAGAGTCTATCTTCCATTATTTGAGCATCTATCGCGATCCACTCCCAATCCTCCGGTTCATCCAATCGCGGCACAATTTTCCAAGCTTTGCCAGACCCTCGTCACCGTTATTGAAAGCCCGAGTTGAAAGTCGGAGCGATACTTCTTTCGCGAAAAGATTCGCGATAGATCGAACAACACCAAGTGCCGCTTTTTTTAATGCCTCTATTATGCGCTTGGCACTAGGTCAAGAGATTTACCGATTTAGGCATGAAAGAAAGCGCCGTTCATTCGAAAACGTTCTTCCATTGAACTCAAGTCTACATATCGACAAGGCAAAAAGTACTTGTTCAAGTAGCACTTGTGTTCCCGAGGTTCTTCACGTGATCTAACTCGATCCTACCAAGGAAGACTACTTCGCGATTGTTTTTTTTTTTTTTTTCACTCTTATGCAATTTAGTTTGCGTTAAAAAATAATAATCGGAAAATAAACGAGAGATAGCGGTTCGGGGTATTTAATTTTCATCACAATGAATCTCCGTGTATGTAATTTTCCGATAAATTTTTGTCGAAAAATAATTTTAAATACATGCTTTAAATATGTTAAATATTTATACACATAAATTCATTTATATGATAAAAGTATATACTATATAAATTTATACATAAATATATATATAAATTTATTTGTATATAAAACATATTTTAAATATTTGTGTACATAAACTTATAAATAATATATATTAATAATTTGTATACATAAATTTATAATTTATTTAGTTAAATATTTGTAAATATATAAATTTAATTTATTATTTATGTCATACAAAAGTATGTTTTAATAAAAGTAATATTTTAAATATTCTCACAACAATATGGAGGTGATATTTTGTGCAAAAATTTGAAACTTTGTAATATATTTTTTTTTTTTAATTCAAAAGACCAAAATAAATCTCTATATTTCTTTTTGCTCTGTAAATATAAATATAAATCTTTTTGCGAAAAAAAATTGTGTGTGTGTGTGTGTGTTTCTTCGAAGATTGCTCGCGTATAAATATCCACAACCGAGAATTATTTCTATTGACGTGGGTTCGCCAAAAAAAAAAAAACAAGTGTGTCTCCTTCTTTTATTATCAGCAATATAATCGAACACTCGGGGAATCGTTGTCTCGAGTTTCCGACGACATCGATAGCACCCCCGGGCGACAACGTATATACTCGCAATTGACATTTATGCGATCTCATGCGAGCTCCCTCTTTTTTTCTGTTTCAGTCGCTGCTCTGAAGCTACTTCACATAAAGGTCCCGCCTTATACCTTGAGGGGCAAAGACGCGACTTTGGAATGCAGGTGAGAATGTTCGCCATAAGCCATACAAACGTCAACTGCTTTCCGCGCGCGCGCGCGAAATACTCGCGATATATCGACGGCGTTCGTGCGTGCGTACTTTTTTTTTTTCGTGTCGGATTATTGCGGAGTTTTATCACTGCGCTGCATCAAGATTCTTCCGTCGCAACGTAAAACTAATACTACTCTCAAAGAACATAAAATAACAAATCGAACATAAAATAACAATTCGAATCGCTCACGTTTAATTCGATCGTTTTTCGTCGCCCATGTTTGAAAACAACAATATGCAACTTTATTCTACGCTTCTTCATTCCTTTTGTCGCGCTCAGATTCTCTAATAAGTTAATTAGTTGAGTAATTCGCGCAAAAATAAAATTATGCACAAGCAAACACTTTGACGGAACGAAAACACGGTCGTTTTCAAGTTATGAAGTTTTATACGTGCAATTTGCGTATATATTTCTCGTCGCAAAAAAAAAAAAAAAAATAACACGCCAACATTTATATGCACTTACAAAAGAGCTTTTAAAGAGCTGACTTGTGCTCAAATTCGTTACTTCTCATATATTTTCCGCGCTCAGATTTCTCTTCCCGATAAAGCACTCAATTATGAAAATATCAGGGGAATTTTACTGCGAAAGGTCAAAGCTCCTCGGCTGCTTTTATTCATAAAGCACGTAAACACGTCTCAGTTAAAGAGGCCGCGCACCGCTGAGATGCGTTCTGTCGATCGATACGCACGCGCACACACACACACACACATATTATTTTACACGCAAAGAAGATAATGCGCGTCTCGTTGAAACAAGACACTGTGCTTCAACCTCATTACATAATTTCCGCATTCTTCTTCTCGGACTACCTCCTTTTCGCTCACCGGCACATCGTCTCTCATTATTCTCTCCAATTACAACATCCGATTTTACGACGTATCCGGCGAGATCTAGTTCGACGAACTTCGTTAAAAATCTTTAATGCCTTTTTTTTTTTTTTTCGTTCAAACATCGCGATCGGGGTCCGCTGAGAGAGCGAACGCGGACCGTGATAAAAGAACAAACTCGCGAGCGAGAAAGCTTTAAAGAAAATTTGAATAAAGAATATTCCCTTCCTCTTTTCTCTCTAAAATCACAAAAAACATTTTTCTTCCTAAGATTGGTGTTGGATCGCGACGCTTTTTTTTTTTTTTTTTTTTTTCGAAGCGTCAAAACATCGAGAAGGGAGAAACGAGTGACGAGTCGTTCGTCGACGCCGAGTCGGGTTTAGAATCTCCTTGAACGTCGAGTAATAACCGGCCTTCGCAATTTGCAACGGGTCGTGATTATGTTACCGCCGCATTCAATAATTCAATCGGGTTTTCCCATTAATCGAGTTATGCCTACGTAAAGAGGGCTTCCAAAGCTAATTTGATCAGTTTTCGAATGACCAGCCTGTAGCGCGATCGCGCGCACGCAATAGCGTTCCCGTCCGCGCGATATATATGGGCCGCGATAAATGACCGGTTCCAGCGCAGGACTCGCTAAATAATTCGCGTTCGGGGTGTGTGTGTGTGCGTGCGAACCGCACAATAAAACCGAAGTATCGCGGCATAATCACTAATGTATATCAACTCGGTTCCGGGTCAGCGGGCGTGAATTTTCTATATGTGTGCGCAACGTGCACGCGCGCGCGCGCGAACGTGCGATAGCGAGAGACCGCTTGTTACGAGCGATGGAATTGTAATGAAGAGAGAATTTCTCTCTCTATCGTTTTGCAAGCAGATTTTACACGTGCGCCGAAAGCGAAAAACTACCGTCATTCTGTTGTATCAACAGAAGGCTGCGGACCGCGTACAAATTCCATTTCCATTCGGAATTATTAAGACCGCGAGAGGAAGAAGATACGCGCTCGGAGATCGAACGAATGAAATGGAAGAGAAACTCAGGAGAGAGAGAGAAAGAGAGAAAGGGAGCCGACGTTGGGGAGGGGAAAACCGAACGGGAAATGCGGCCGCGGGAGAGACAATACGGAAGACGAAGCTGTTTCTCGCATTTACCTCGCAAAGGTAAATCGTGTAAGCGGAACTCATAAAGGCATCCGTAAGAAGCGAAGCAATAAAGTACGTATCGAGTTTGCGGTTAACGTTAAAGGAAAACGATAAATAAAATTACAAATAAAAGCGAACCGAGAAGAGAGAAGACAGAGAGGGAGGGACGGAGCGAGAGAGGAGGACAGAGATGGGCAGAGAGAATGGAAGGGAGAGAGAGTTTGTGAGACCGCGAATCGAACAACGAAGAAATCTCGATACTTTTCAAGTCTCTCCTTCGTAGTTTATTTATTTACTCGCCAACACGGAGATGGGTCCGTGCGGGAAAACTCCTCCTCTCCTCTTTCTCCTCTTGTGCGCCTTCTTTTTTCTCCCCTATTTTCCCTTCCACTCGCGCGACTTCTTTTTTGCCTGCCCGGAAAAAGATGCCCTTCGATCCCTCTATAGCTCGAGACCGCGAGAGTCGTAACTCTCGCGAGATTTCTCTCTACGTAAGTTCTTCACGGATACTCCGGACGACCGCCGTGATACCACCGCCGCTGCCGCCGATCGTTTCCTCTAATCTCTCGATCGGAATTCCATCGCCGACGGTGATGGCTGATGCTGCTGCTGCTGCGGCGAATCGAAGCCGTCGAGGGGAGAGGAAGAAGAGAAAAAAAAGAGGGGGGAAAGAACGAGGACGAGATCGAAAGAAACAGCAAGCCGTTAGTCAGCAAAACTCGTTTCAGCAGAACGATTCGTCATCGAATATGGGCGGAGGATAAAAGAAAAGAGAGAAGATCAGAGAAAACGGGAGAAAAAAAAGAGAGAGAGAGAAGGAGAGAAAGTTGATTCGGTCGCCCGGTTGGAAAGGGAGCGTCTTTCTTAGAGGTCCCTTCCTCCGCTCTCTTTCTCTGTCTCTCTCTCTCTCTCTCTCTCTCTCTCTCGGGTCAGCCGAAGGCCATGGATTTTCTACCCCTTTGCGTGCGCCCCAAATATACGTGACAGATCGGTCTGCCTTTCGCGACGCGAATGCACAATTGTTCGATGGCGTATTCGCGCGCGTCATCCATCGATAACATAAATCACACCTACAATAAATACAGCGGCGAGATATTAGTCGGATCGAAAGGAAAGCTTTGAAAACTCTGCTTTGGAAAATATCGATGTGCCCGAAACATTATTCGGTTTTCTTTTTATTTCTCTCTTTCAAGTTTGTTTTTTTAATTCTTTTCATTCTCCCGCGGTTTTTATCTTATTTTTCTTACGCGCTTTCAAATATTTACAATTTAATGGGTCAGAAACTTGAACTTTTCGAAAACTCCGACTCGATTAGGAGTCACTCGATACAAAGAGAGAGAAAGAAAGAGAGAGAGAGAGAGAGAGAGAGAAATTTACGAGATACACACGTGCTAATTAAAGCTTAAATAACAGTAGACGATTATCGGCGCGATCGGGATCGGCGAGAATTTCCACGAACGTGTCCAGTTGTCGATTTACAGGCGTCTGCCAACGGTCGGGGCCAATACATTTTCACCCCTTTCCTGATCCTTAGGTCTCGGGACCACCCCCGGTTGCCCGTGCCATCCTCTAGATGGATGGTAATTGCATGCCGTAAGTTATCACGGAATCGAAGTTTCTTCCGGTAGGGAAACGACAAGCTTCACGGAATCTCTATTAGGGAGGCTCGATCGAAGTGCCGCCCGCGCGAACGTTGTGTGTACGTGCGATATAGTCTGTGTAAGATTCGTGTAGTCACCGTGTTTAGTTCGGTATACACACACGAACGCGCCGCGTCCGCTTTACACGGAACCGCGGAGTCACCTCGACCGAGGAGGATAATTAAAGCGTAATTATATACTTTGGCGAGAAAGAGATAGAGAGATAGAGAGAGAGAGAGAGTGTGTGTGTGTGTGTGTGTGTGAGAGAGGCGGGCGGGCGGCGGGCGTAATGACGTTTAGTCGACACGTCGTAGATCTAAACGTCGTAATTGATGCGGTACTTAATGATCATTACCAGGAATTATAATCGGTGTGAGATATCGCCGCGATGTAAGACCTTCCCGCTGAACGCTTTCTCGTAACTTAAGTTTGACGTAACAATTATGGTTCTTTTATTAAAAAAAAAAAAAA